CATAATTCTGAAGTGGATGGATTATACTTTTCTGGTATGTTTTTGTTTTGAAATGTCATTATTCCATTTGTTTGGCGAATTGGTAACTTGCCGTAGCTTCCTTATTTCTCGGACTTGTAGCTGATGCTGTAAAAGTTAACTTAGTTTCAGTACATAAAAAATAAAATTTCCATTCAGCCACCTCTGGCTTCTATTTTGAAAGTATACGTGCATGATTTGCTTATGCACGTCGTATTTTTAATTTCCAGCTTTGGTGCCAACACGAGCCCATTCTGTTTATTCCCCACAGTTGGAGCTTTGTGTGTTTTGGGGAGGATTTCTGTTTTGCAGCAGCAGCAGTTTTAGCAACTGTGTGCTTTGAGGCCCCCATCTCTTCTGGCATGAGATCCAGCAATGAACTGAGAGAAGGGCAGAGTGAGAGCCAGGTTGGACTGTCCCCAGTTTATGTCTTCTGCAAACTGAAAAGCTTGTTGTCAAGCGAGGCGAGGTCCTGTGCACTACCCCATTTCTGCAGGGCTGAAGGCAGGCAACACCCGGTGCTTGGTGTTGGGTCATGGCAAGGAAATTATAAGCTGGGAGTCTTTTCAGGACTCTTCAGAATGATTTGGGGCTCTTTAGTCAGCCAGCCTGGTTGCGAGACTCTGGAGTTATACCAGATATGCGTGTCTGCAAACACATACATGAAGCCCCCTTCTCCAGGTTGGACAGTAATTGATGCTGGAAGAGCAAATGTCCTGGGAGGAAAACAGCGCATGGTGGTGTGGCGCCTGAAGGCACATACAAGCGAGTGAAATTTGTCTGTATGACTCAAATGTGGCACTTTTGCATTTTGAATCCCATGGCAAAGGCTAAGAACTGCTTGCTAGAAGGCAGGAGGGTCCTCTGAACATCCCCATGGCCCCTCCAAGGGCTGAGGAGACAGCAGTAAAAAGCAGCCTCGGTGTGCTCGAGCCTCTGGCACTGGCAGCATACCTCCCCTGTGCTCCCACCAGCCACGGGGAGCCCCTCGAGAATGGGAGAGCTGAGGGGTGAGGTTGCTCTGGGTTGGCAGCAGTGAGACCTGGAAGAGAAGTTCCCTGCTCCTGGCTGCCTGCTGGTGTCCAGAAATCCCTCCTGTGGTCATGACTGCTGGGATAAGCATGAGAGCCGTATGAAGCTGCAGCCTGTTGCAAGAAAGGGCCTGGACAAGGACAGTGCTGCCTTATGTATAAACATAAGGCTTGTATTTATAGTTTTATATATGACTTTTCTAAAAATAGAAGGCAGAGAATGTGAATCCTGCTTCTCTGAAAGTTAATGACACTGTTGACAGCAAGGAAATAATGAGCATTAAGCTAGATCCCTTTCAGGATTTATCTGGTACCTTTTTCCCTGTTGAATAAGGGAGTTACATGCTTTTTGCTATGCTTCTTGGCTTTTATCGTGGTGAACCCTCAGTTGCAGGTAGAAAAGAACTAAAATACTCAAGGAATTCTGTCCCTAATAACGTTTAAACGTTGGAGACAGTGTCAGCCAAAGTGTGATTTGTATTATTTTCCTTGCAGCTGTGGATTTTTTTCCTTGCCATCTTACACGTCGGAATTACTGCTTTCACATTTGCAAAGTGAAATGCAGTTACATTTCTTCTCTGGCTTTCTTTAGTACAAGATGATGCCATTGTATTTTGGGTACTTCAAGCTCAGCTATCTTTCGCTTTGTTTGCAGTAAGCCAAATATTTCCAGATTCTTTCTACTGCCCAAAATACTTAGAACTGTTAATGTATTTTTTTTGTTTGTTGGTTTGAGTTTGGGGTTTTTTGTAGCTGTTGTCTGTTTATAAAGCCTTCAGCACAGCTATCCCAAAGTGTGGCTTAAACAGTGTGTCATGTCCCTCCCTTTAATTTGCTCAAAGTCTTTAGTAGCATAAAAAGTTCTGTAGGAAAGAAAAAAGTTTTTTTGCCTGTGAGTGTACCAGAAGGGGCACCTTAAAAAAGGACAGTATGGCTCTGGTGAATGGAAATGGATCTGTACAGCTTGTTTTGAAACAAAACCTCCAGCTTTTCTTAGAAACAAAATAGGTTTGTCTGTATGTTAAAAGCAAACAGTTTTGGAGTCTGTGCCATTCTTGTGCAGATTTGTTTTTCACTACGGAGCGGAAGAGTGTGTTGGCAGGAAACAGAACCTTACCATTGCAATGCCTGTTCTACTGGGCAAAACATGTCAGGAGCATGAGCTGCACAGAGATACTAGAGAGCAAGATTAAGAAATCGGGAGCGGTTCTTCCTCATCCTCGTCACTGTCATCCTTAGTGTGTGGGAAAGCTAGAACCTGATGTGCTTAAACGTAGTGACTTTGGATAAGACAATCTGCTTCCACTTAAATGCTGCTCAGCTGGAAGGAGAGGACTTGAATTCTGGAGTTTTACAGGAGGTTTCCCATCTTCTGACTTTTGCAATAGAAACCTAAAGACGGTGATGGAATGACTTGTGTTTTGTATCTTACTTTCCAGTTGGCCTGCTGCTGTGGTACTGCCGCTTGTTCCTTGTGCTGCAAATGCTGCCCCAAGATAAAACAGTCAACCAGCACCCGCTTCATGTATGCACTTTACTTCATCCTGGTGACTATCATCTGTTGTGTCATGATGTCAACAACAGTAGCTAACGAAATGAAAACGCACGTAAGTAAGAGAGGTGAAGCCACTGCTGCCCCTGGAAGGAAATGGGGCTTCTTCCACAACTCTTCACATACAGGGGCACTCCCTCAGAAGAGGCAGTCTATTTCCTCCACCCATCCACTTGCAAACCCAGACGGGATGATTTTCCGTGCTCAGCCTCTTCCTGTCAATTACTCACCTGTCCAGTGTGTTTCACAACAGGAAGAGTCAAGGATCACAGAACTAGCAGCCTTCCTCCTCTTTTGTTGTGCAGAGACCCACTGCAGTGAACCCATCCCAGGTTTGCTGCATGGATAGTGTCACTAGACGCTATTAGGAAACATGTTACAGTAGAACAAATTGGTTCGGTCTAACATTGAGTTTGTCTCTGGTAACTTGTTTAGTAGCAGAAACAGTAAATTAGAAAATAACTCTTCAAGTGTTGCATTTGTAATTTTAATTCAGTGTTCTTGGTGAAGAAGTCTGTCCGTTGTGTGACAGACTACTGCAATGCACAATGCTGCAGATCCTTTACAAGGGGTTTTCTTCAGTGTGTGTTGAGTCATCATGTTCACATGACCTCTAGCCACAGCAGATATTGTTCATCTCTAATTGTCTTTTTAATTAAAATGCTTCAAAAGCATGAAAAGAGCTGTGGCTAAAACTAGATTTTAAAACAGAAGTTTCTTTCAGTGTCTTAATATAACTTTCCTAAGCTTACCAGCCTGCTTGCGGTCACACACTAGACCTGTTGTACCACATCTTTGGTTTGGTTTCTTAAGCCACCCAAGTTGCTCTCAGTAGCACAAATCCTCTCTCTCACCCTCTAAAAACTACAAGAAGAGAAGTCTGTTTTTAAGTAGAGGGAACAATAGCTGGATTGCTTAATTCTTAAAAGTTAAGTTTCTTCACCAAACTTGGCATCAGGCCTGCTTTGAGGTTGTAAATGTCCTTGCCCTGGAGGTTCAGAAAGCTTCTGTTGCTGTGGGCATCTAGTTATTTTGTGTGACTCTCCCAAGAGAGAGTGCCGGTGGATGCACAGTTAGGGCTGTTTCCATGTTTAACCAGTTGCTGGTCAAGCTGATGCCCTGCTTAACTTCTGCGTTTGACTTTCAGTTGTCTGTGAAACACTTCTCTCCACAGCAGTTCATATTGAGAAGCTGGTGGTAGCACCCTGTGCCTGCAACACAGATGAACTAGTGGGCTTACGACGGGGCTAGTTTGAGGGTTTCTGTGCTCTGCTGCCAGTGAGCTTGCTTTCTTCCCATTGTACCCTCGTTGTATGTTTTGTCCTAACTTTCTTTCATTTAATAGCACTTTTCTTGAGTTATCCTAGTGCCACCTTCTTAGTCCCAGCCACCAGAAGTTGCTGACAGCCCTATAAGAGTACCCAGTACAGACATGATGATTGCCTGTGAGCTGCGACTTAAAAACTGTTCAACATGTGCATGCTGAAATTTCTTGCCAGGAATTACTTTGACTTACTAGATGCTTAGCTTGGCAATAAAGTGAATAATCCAAGGAACTCAAGTGTGGGAGACAAATTACATGCTCATATCCAAATTTCATAAAGTCATTTTCCATCAGTATTGTGTTTTTATGCAGCTTGTATCCTTAACAAAAAATACTCGTTCTTTATCCAACAGAAAAGTGATTCAAGAAGCCTCCAATAACATGCTTTTCAGTATTGCCAAATTTCTTTTCCAGTTCATAGTCTTGAAAGCTCAGTGTGGGAAGAAATGGCACAAAAAGTAGCTGTTAGTGTGAAGTGGAAAGATAATCACACTCTTATTTTAGAGCATGTGATGTCTTTGAATGGGAAATGGACCATCTGAAAGTAGTCTTTCTTTATCTGCTCTCTTAACTTAATAATTATGTTCAGGGCCCATAAAAGTTCAAAGTCTCCTGAAGCTAATTCAGCCCAGTTGTAATAGAGTGCACCTTCAAAATATTTATTCAGACTAACTGGTCTCAGCTTCCCAAAGATGAACTGTGTTTTGAAAGTGCTGGGCACTTACTGATCCCTTTGCTTTTGGCTGGATCGTGGAGCACCTTGGTTACTGAAGCCAGTCTGTAAGCAGTCGCTTTGCATGATGCTTATAGGACCTCACCCTGTCTGTCTTGAGAGGAGAGAGAACTTTTATTAATTTTAATTATAATTTTTAATAGTTGTATTAAAATAAAAAACTAGGTTTTTATTTTTAAAAAAATTAAAATGTTAGTGCAGTCCTTTATGGAGGCATAATCTTGGCAGGGAACCATCTGCTTTACCAGTTTGGAGGTAAATATGCTGATGTTACAGGAGAGGAATCTCTCCCTTGTCAGTAAGAGGTTTTTTTGGTTGATTTGCCATAAATTACGAAGTCTAAAGTAGTTCTAAAAGTATTTGTTGTAGCACTTGGTGCTTTGGCATTATTTTGAGAGGAAGCTAGGGCAAATGTACGTCTCTTATGGGCACCTTAAACAGAGACTTTTTAGAAGTGTTTGTATTTGTTTTGCAATATTTATCTACCCCCATGGTCATGCAGTCTGTCTATTAAAACACTTTTAGGACAGCTTTTCAGTTCCCAAGTTGCCAGACTCTGCAGGTGCCATCGCAGAGCTGAGGACCTGCTCTGTGCCCTGCAACATGGCTGGAAAAATAAGGCGCTGTCCCAGGGTGCTCAACTTCCACATCCTCACCAAAGCTGGCAGGTAGACGAAACCATGTGTCAGTGGGAGGACATGGTAACTGTGGAGTATTTGGTTATGATTTCAAAACCTTAGTTCCTAATCTAACCAGCAACATTTTGAGGTGATCGTATTTTGTGGTGAGCCTTAAGAATTGAAGATAGTCTTTTGCAGGGGCAGTTTTTTCTCTCTTGTTTTCATTCTTGTTTCTTTCACTCCTGAGCTGTCCCTGCGCCCACAGGATGCCAAAGGAGAAAGGCCCAAAGGGGTTAATTCTGAAAAATGTGCAAAGAAACCAAGGCATTTCTGTTTGATCTCTGGGGAAGAAGCAAGAGGCAGTGGAGGGCTATGAAAGGACTGGATGGTTTTGACCAGGAAAATACTTTGAATAGTAGCATGTAGAATAGATTTCAGAGGAGCAAGGTTGTGTATCAAGGCAAAAGATGGGGTAGAGCATCAATCAAGACATGATAGTGTCAGTGAAGGGGACAGAAAGACAGAAAAGAACAATATGCAGTTACACAAAATGTCTTGACAACAGAGACTTGGCTCTGTTCCAAAATGAAGCAAAGCAGGACCCAACTGGACAAAGTGCTTCTATGCCTTGATCCATTTTTTCCCCCAGTTACTCTGTTTTTTTTAAAAACAGGTACAGCTTTATACACAAATGTTCTGTTGAAGCAGAACCTTGCATTTCACAGGCTTTGAGAGGATAACTGAGAGTAGAAAAGGGAGAGAATTGTTTTGGTCTGTTGAAATAGTGTTTTAATTTATTTTTTAATTAAATTCTTAAGGTTAAAGCTGTTGCAAAACTCGTGATTTCGCCCTGAAAATATCCATGTCCTACTTAAATAATGAAAGGAAGAATAAGAAAGATGTTTTCAGGAAAACAAACACCAGTAAAAAGCAGTTCAGTTGTGTCAAAGCATTTCAGTTCTAGATGGTTACATGTTGTGGCAGAGCATACTTTCAGGCTTGTTTCCCCACAATTATATGTTGATATTATTGATTATATGTTAAGATATAAATGTTTCCCACATTTGTATCTTGGCCCTTAACTGCATTATAGTATTTTAAAACCCAAATTTGCTACCAAAAATTAGTTTTTTTAAAGTGCAGATGCCCATTGCCTATTTCTGGTAAGAATTTAGCCATAAATGCAAGATGGCGTGTGTTTTGGTCTGATTGTGTTTTGCTTTTCTATTCCATTTCTCAACTGCTTAAGACAGGCAGTTTTACCTGTTTTTTTGCCCTTGCCTCCCCACCTACACAGATTTTTTCATCCTTCCTCTGTTTCCATAACAAAGCTCATCTGCCACATTCTCCCTCTGTCAGATGAGGACATCCAGACAAAAGCAGTCTCCTTCAGGCTCTTCAGGCCCATTTCTACACACTTCTTCCTTCCTGTTCCCTCTCGCTATTTCCCGTGCTCCTGCATCCACGTGTTTGGGTGCAGACAGACCAAAGCTCAGAGGTGGCCAAACCCCAGCTGGCTGGAGCCTGGATGCAGTGTGGTTGTGTTGGCTTGCTTCTTGCAGTGCATTTATTTTGGGCAGCAGCACCTCACAGTGAGGGGAAAAGTCCATCCCTGTTTCTGTAGATGTTGCCATCATCTCAGAGGGTTTCACTGCACTTGGAAAACTACCGACTTTGCTGTGATAACGTCATTGCTTGTGCAGCAACCAAGGCGTTTACATTATCTGAGCAGATACTGAGATTCTGCAGCAAGAATGTTTTGTCCCCTACTCAGAGGCCAAAGCATTTAGCTTATGTTGCTTTTAAAGGTATAAAAGTCAATATTTCAGTATATCAAACTTGGCAAATAACTAATCCATGACTTTAACAGCTGGCAAAACTACCCAGCAAATGGAAAGTCTGGTAAATCCCATAGGGTGGGCAGACTGCAAGCAGCTGAACATGTTTCAGAGATACAGAAGTGAAAAAAAAAAAATTAGTCTTTTTTAATGTTCAGTGAAGAAGCCACATAAGCCTTGATAAATTGTTCCCAGCAGTAGACCATCCTCTCACAAAAACATGCCCTTTTCATTGCATCAGCCCTTTTGTCCTCAGCACTGTGCTTGTGTTTATTATCTGCTCGGTTCCCCAATAATTTTGTTTTATTCTTGTTTTGTTCCTTCAGTATTGCAGGTGTCCAAAAAGGGCGTTCAGTCCCACAGGACTATTCCTGTGGCCATCACTTATTACTGCATACTGTTATGCATACTACATGACCTCTGAGCTCTTTGTTGCTTGTGTAGGCACAAACTGAGCTATTGTTCTTGTGAATCCATCCATTTTATCTCAGCCAGATCTGTAAGGAAATTACTACTAAATGGAGAAAAGAGCATATAGGGTCAAAAAGCCCATCAAGATCTCTGTAGAAACCTATGCAGTTAAAGAAGATGCCCATTTAGAGTTACCAGAGATCTGTTTTTAATTAGCTAGTCAATTAATCAAGTTCCATGGTATTTTTTTGTTTTGTTCTCTAAGTCTCAGAAGCAAAATGCTGCTTGATACCAACTACAGATATTACGGAAATCTTCTGTCAGAAATCTTAGTTGGTACCATTGTCTATATCAAACAAATACCTAATTTTCTCAGAAATATTACTAGTTCAATATTATACATCTTTTTAATCTCTGCTAACTGATGGTTATTGATAGGTTATTCATAGGTCTCTTAATTATTCCAGTCAATCCATTTGCTCGTTTTGAATGCTGACGTGTTTGCCTAGTCAGACATTTCATTGCCTTTCAAGACCTGGGAAAGGCATCGCTGATGCTCCAGACAGTTTATCAGGAGCTCTCTAAAAACTCTTAGATGCTCATTATCCACAGCTACTTGTTTGCTGTCCAGTTTCTTACACTGTGGCTACTCATCTCTGAGTTACTTCTGAAAGAGCATCTCAGGGTGGCCTAGCTTGAATCTGTTCTTTTAATACCACACAGCTGTGTTGAGATCTGCTTTTCATCTCCTCATCTGGTTTTAGCCCACCTAGGATCAGCTCAGTACCATAGTTAGGTTTGCTACCCTTAACACAGCAACTGAGTGTTGCAGTGAACTGCTAAAAATACTTGCTCTTTTTGGGAAACTGCTAGGAGGGTTGTTGGGCTCCTGACTAGTTTGGGTTGCTAGCATGGGATGGGAAGTTGCATACCGTGCTGAGGGAAGCAGGCTTTCAGAGCCTAGTGGCTGGAAGTTGGCTGTTTATGTGTTTATCTTATGTTTCCTGCATCTCAGATGGCTTTCTATCCAGCTGGGAATGCTGCCTGATCGCTTGCTCTCAGGTCCTGTTTGTTCTTTGCCCGTCCTGGTTTTGTGTACTGACCCACCTACTGAAGGAAGGAGAGACTTCTATTTTTCCTAATTTCTTGGAAATGTTCAAGGATAGTGTTGCCCACAATCTTTGTATATTTCTCTAAAGCAAAATCTGGCCTGGCTGAATGCTTTCTGAAGTCTGATTCCCATTTCCTTTGCCCGAGTTACTTATCTGTGCATGTGGTGTCCTGGCACACATTGTCTTATCTCTCCTCCAGTTACCTGTGCAGGTAGCAGTGATCAGCTCCAGAGGGTTTGATGTGTTGCTCAACTGGTCTCACCAGTCTCAGCTGAGGGCTGTGAGTGTACAGAGAGGCCTTTCTTTCTTTGAAACTAACAGTGGTTTTCTAATTAAAAGCTGGTATTTCTATGCAGCTGAATGTCTCCCTGGCTGCAAGGGGAGTGTGTCTGCACAGAGGCCCCCCACAGGAGTGGGTCCTGGCCACATAGACCTGTGCTTTTTTGAGCACCCAGCATCATGTCTGTCTGGTGAAACTGAAGCCAAAAGGCACAGCTGTTTGCTTTCCCCTCGTGGTGAGAGCAAGGCCTCAAAGGCAAATATTTAATGAGTCAAGAGAAGGGTGGAATTTTCCTGCCTCTCTGTTAATTTAAAACAAATTCAGGGCAACTGGCACAACTCCCTTTCAGAGGCTGTGATGGAGAGGAGGGGGCTTGCTGCCCCTGTGCTGCTTTAGGCACGCTCGGTCGACATTTCCACCAAGGGCAGCGTAAGCCAGAGCTTCCTGCCCTGCAGCCCCATTCATGCCCCTGGGTAAACCAGCCAGTATGGCTTATGGAAACTGGATTACTGAAGCAATCAAAGTCTTTTGCTGTAAAGCGTGGGAAGAAGGGAGAGGTCCCCAGGGTGACAGGATAAGCAGTAAGGGCCAGAGATGGCTTAAGCCAACAGAACTGAAGGAAAGGTAGGCGGACTTGTACCCCAGAGCATCTGGAAGGGGTGGAGAGTGGAGGCTCTGGAAAACTCCACTTGTGTTTTACATTTCTTTATGTAAAGAAATGTAAGTCCCTTGAACCCTTCAGTTCAGGCTGAGGGGTATCAAAAGTCAAAGGTGTTAAATGAAGCCAGTGAAAAGTCGGTGGTGCATAGATGTAGAGGTGCTTGATTGCAAGGAGCCTTGTGTACTATCTAACAGCTTATAACATGTTGTGCTTTTCAGATTCCCTTCTACAAGCAGATGTGCAAGGGTATTCAAGCGGGTGAGATGTGTGAGAAGTTGGTGGGATACTCTGCAGTGTACAAAGTCTGTTTTGGAATGGCCTGTTTCTTCTTTTTGTTCTTCTTGTTCACCATCAAAATTAACAGCAGCAAAAGCTGCCGAGCATACATTCATAATGGGTGAGTATTTATTTGATTGCTTAATTTCCACTTCTCTTGACAGGTTTGTGCTGCCTACTTTCTTGGTTGTAGTATTAGGAAAAAAAAAAAAAACAGAAAACAAACCCAAAGTTGATTTTACTGCTTTTGTCAGAAGGAATGCAATCAAGTGAAAACTAAAGTGGTAATCAGTCATCAAAGGCTGATTTTTCTCTTGTTGGGCTTTAAATAGAGATTTCTCATGGTACTTGAGTTGAAGACCTCTTAATTCCTATCATAACCAGATGATTTTTTTTTTCCTCTTGTCCAGATTCTGGCTTGTTAAACTTATACTTTTGGCAGCAATGTGCTCAGGAGCCTTCTTCATTCCCGATCAGGACACTTTCCTCAATGGTACATCCTTTTCGTTTTGTTATGCTGCTTTGTTCTGTACTACCTTGTGAGTGGTTATAAATCCTTAAGGTCTGACCAACGTGCATATTGCCATGTTTCTTCAAGTAAAGCCAGTATAATCCAGATGCAGAAGGAGTATTTGGAGATGTTTGGGGGGAACTCTGTGTGCACAGAGTACGTGGTCTTCACATGAACATGCAGTAAAGAGCATTTTTTTTCTGACCAAAAGCAGGCTAGATGGGTAGGTAAAAATACCACTGCGGTACTGTCTTGCAAATTCTTTAAGAAGCAGGGAGCTGTAATGGTGCACAAGAAGTTACTCACTCAAGAACAGAGCCACGTGTTAGTTTGGCTTGTGCAGGTAGCTCTGCTGTAGCACAGCAGCCAGGGACCATGCTGCGTGGTGGAGAGGTGCCAGTGCTTAAGGGGGCACGGTGACCTGCAGGGTACTGGTGTTGGCTACCTGGAAACCTGCAATGCCGCAAAAGAATTTGGGATGTTGTTAGCTTTCAGGCTGCTGGCATAAATGCAGTTAAGGTAAAATTAGACTTCTTGGGGCATGTTGCGAAGTGCTCTGCTGAGGATGCCGTGCCTGAAGCATTTCCAGTTTTTGAAGACACCCTGGCACCACACAGGCATGCTGGCATGCTGGTACTGGCCCAATGCTTAAATGCCAGCTCTGTGGGCAGCTTCTCACAGGCTTCTTGTGGGCTAGAAGCAAAAGTCGCGGTGATACTGAGATGAGTTTGTGCCCTTCAGGTTGCCAGGTACTTGTAAACCTTTAAGCTGTTGAGTCTGGGCGGGTGGAAAGGCATGGGATCAGTAAGACAAAGGAGCCGTTGTGTCTGCTGCCTACTTCCACTAAGGCTTGCATGGTTACCTCTGTTTTCAACACTGATCTCCTCTCCTGGGGTGTTCAAAAGGGGAAGAGGAAGGAGTAACATGGGGGAAGAGAATGGAGTCAGCAGACATACTATGAGCACAGTGCTCTGGGAAACTAAGCTAAAAACCACTTCAAGTAAACCACTGGTAGATGTAATGCAGCTTCTTGCTCTTACTAGCTGTTTGTTTGGTCCAGGTTCAGTTTGATGTGCCAGAAGTGAAGGGCTCCTTATCCCTATTCCTCGCCCATGCGAAGTCACAGGATGGCTTGTATGTGCTTGTCCTTAGTATCTAATCACTGTTTGGATTAGAAAGACGTAGCACTGCGATGCATTGTTCTTGTGAGGAAGTGAGATGGCCTATCATCTTTGCAAGCTACCCTTTTGATGATGAAAAGTCATCAAGAACTGAAGTGTTTGGGGAAGAGGGGAAACAGAACTTTTTGTGCTGATTATGGTGCCATTTCTCAATAGCAGTCTGACCTAGTGTGGGGATACAGCATAACAAGCTTTCTACCTCAAATTAGCTCTTTTCTCTCTAAAGCTGTATTCTGCACATCCTGCTAAACTGTACTCCTGTCAGCCCATGAATTTGAGATTTACAGGTGGTTTGGGTGTTGTGTGGTTTTGTTTTCCTTTTTTTCCCCTCCCATCAAGAAATTGTCTTTTTTTTTTTTTTTTTGAGCATTCTGCCAGCTTGCTTGGTTTTTCTTATAAAAAAACCTCTAGCCATGTTTCACATGTTCAGCAGTTTGTCAATCATGGAGGAGAAGTATTACATGCAAGTTCTAGGTTTGTGTAGGCTGTAGTGTTAAATCCACACCGGCCATGCTAACCATATCTATGATGGATTTATAAAACATCCTGCAGTGTCCTGCCTGTGGCAGTGGGAGGTCCTGAGAGTCTGGCTATTTAGTTACTCACTCCATTGGTGGTCTGTTTTTCCTACTCTACCTCTCCCAAACACACATGCACACCTTGCTCCCTGGCTATTTTTAATGTACTTTTTTACATGCTAGCTTCTTCTGGTTTTTTGTTTTGTTTCTTTGAAGAACAGCATGCTTATCAAGCACACACAACACGTTTAGCAAAACCAGTCAAATGGCATTTTTGCTTGCTTTCAAGTAATGAGCTTATGGTATATTAAAAAAAAAAAGAAAAATCTCTACATCATCTCCTAAGGGTAATGTGCTCTGACTGTTCTATTCTTCCACTTCACATACAAAAGCTTTTTTCAAAGGGAAAACACAATGGTAGGATATGGCTGAACTTTGCTAATGCATTTCCATGGTCGTCTTCACTGAAATCAGCCGCACACCTGGAGTCATTTATAGGCTATGCACTGCAGCAGCACAAGCTGTGTATGCAACTAAACATCTAAATAGGTATCTCTATTTCCTCAGAGACTACTGATGTTGCACATAAAGGATCTGTTGTCCAAAATATCCAAACAGCTACCCAAATACAGAATATGTAGGTCAATGGTTAAGTAGTCAAATAACCTGTCTTAAAACTAGTCAGTGAATACAAAGTGTTCCCTTCTTTTGGGGAGTGGCTCGGAACAGCATTTGTAAATAGATAAGCTCCACCTTTGTTTTTCTCTTGTACTGGAATCTGGAAGGGAAGAAATTGCTCTTTTTAGTATGGGGTTCCAGTACCTTGCAATTTCAGGGTTTAGATTCCTGTGAAACGCCTTCACACCACCTCCCTCCCACCAGTCACAAATAAAGGTTTCAGTATTTTCTGTCTGAATATAGTAACTCATGGTCTCCACAAAAATTCTCTAGGTCAGGGAGACTCAGCAAATGTCCTAACAGACTTGTTTTGAAAGTGTAGCAGGTTGCAAGCTGAGTTCATCAGGGGGCTAATCTTGAGTTAGCTAAGCTGGCCTTTCAGCTGAAATCTCCCATCTCGTGCTGCATCTGTGGAGTTGAGATACTCAAACCGCGTAACGGCTTCACTGCGTAGACAATAATTCCATTTTATCTCAAGGGAAAGAAACTGCAGTTTGACCTATTTTCTGCCTCTGTGCCTTGCAGCCTGGCGCTACGTAGGAGCAACAGGAGGTTTCCTTTTCATTGCCATTCAGCTCATCCTGCTTGTTGAGTTCGCACACAAATGGAATAAAAATTGGTATGTGTTGGGCAAGTAGTTATTTGCATAAAATTCTGGTGGACTCCTGAACAATACATTTCTCTTAACAAAGAATTTAAAGGTAGCATGGATGTGATTTCTGAAAGAAGACATTTTAATGTCAGTATTTAGAGCTGTTATGTTCGCTTCATCCACTTTCTCCTTCCCCAGTGGAGGTGTTTCCTCCTTACTCACTTCTACTCTGCTTATTTGTTCTTAACCTGAATTGCTCAGCTTCAAGTAGTAGCTTGCTGGGATGCAAAACCTCTTATTTTAAGTTGTTTATTATTTTATATGAAAATATACCTTCCAAGAAACAGTGGTGCAAGACAATAAAACTGGATTTGCAAAATGTGACAGTGAAACTGTGTGCAGTGATGTAAACTGGTAAATCCTGCTTTTTGTGTCAGCTTAATGCACATCTTATTTTTTTCCCCCTGACATGAGAACTGCTACTTTCTCTTCAACTTCTTTGCTTTCATCTAAATATGCAAGATTCCATTATCAACCCACATATACCCCATTTTGGCATTGACTGCATTTCTTGTTTAAGCATATTTGCTGTTACCTTCCTAGCCCTTAGCCTCTCATCAATTTAATACATTTGAATTGTCCTCCCACATATATGCAGGAACTCCTGCCTCCACCTCCACCCTTTCTGTCTCTCATTTCTTCCTGTACAAACCTTTGCACTCCTCTGTTGTTCTAGTTAGCATACTAACTGCTAAGAAAAGAGTTTTAGCAAACCTTTGGGCTTTGTTAGGTACCTGTTTTCAGGGAGGAAGAGGTGAGATCTCATTATACCACAGATATTGTTATTGCTAATTACTGTAGCAGCCTTTCTGTGGATGAAGGATTTCCAGCAGCAGCATTTAACTTTAGTGCTCCCTACGTTAGATATTCTTTTAAAATAAGTCGTGTTTCCACAAAACAACAACAACAAAACTGAAAAAACCTTCCATGCGCCAAGAAGGACTTGGTGCCGAAACAACTTTTTTAGTTGTTACTCCTAAAAAAAACAGTGATCTTTGCAAGAGGTGTTTGGAAGGTGAAGAGAGGAAAACAAGATGGACGACGCAGTAGCTGTGGGACACTAGTGGGATAGACCTAAATGGAGAGGATGCTTTTTGAGCGAAAGGGTAATAAAACTGTCAAGGTAGGGCAAGGGCAGAAGAGAAGCTGTAACAAGCAATATGCCTTTGCTGCCCTTGTGTGAAGAGCACCGGAGCCTGGGGCACTCCGAGTAAAAATGCCTGAAGTATGGAGCTGAGGTGCACTGATGAGGCTGACCCCAGAGATTGGGAGTTCTAGGAGTCATGCTGGGCTATAATTGCAGAAACAGCTGGGCATGATAATACAGAAGATAAAATAAACAGTAGTGCTAAGGAATGTTTCCTTCTTTTTCATGGGAGGACTCTTGCAAGGGCTTGTGTTTTTGTTGTAGTGACATACACATGCTTCAAGAAAGTAAGCACTGTCTTTTGTGTTTGAGGATATGAACTATTCAGCTATTAAAATTTTTTTGTGTGTGGAAGGGAAGACAAAGATAAGGTGCTTGTCTTTTTCTCCCCAGGACCGCAGGTGCAAACCACAAGCAGATGTGGAATGGTTTGCTTGCCCTGGTCACCCTCATCTTGTACTCCATTGCTGTGTCAGCCCTGGTCCTCATGGCTCTTTTCTACACACGCTCAGAGGGCTGCATGTACAACAAGGTCCTGATCGGTGTTAATGGTGGCCTGTGCCTCTTTGTGTCGCTGGTGGCCATATCGCCCTGTGTCCAGAATCGTGAGTCCACTGACCTCTTCTCCTCCTCGGTTTCTGGTGCTGCCACAGTTGTGCCTGGAGGCATGAGCCATATTCTGGGCAGAAAGTCTCATGATAGCTCAGAGCCAGTGCTGCTCTTGCCCCATCCCTTTATCTACACTATGAAGTGCTATTGCTGGTCATCAGCTCATCTGCTAAAACTAGAGAGGTGTGAGACATTTTGGGTGTGCCATCAGGCAGTCATACCGTAAAGAAGGCTCATGTGCCAGTGGCTGGTAATACGTTGTGGAGCTTACACAACTACAAAGTTAACTCATTAACAAATGAGTTAATAGCTGTCAAACTCATTCACCACTGTTTTACCATTTGCTTTGGACTGCTTGTGATTTACCATCTGTAAAGTTTGGGCCTGGAGGACTTAGCAGCAGTATTTCATGCTTCAGTGTATTTTATGTGTGCTGTTAGTATCCTGCATACATTAGACCTGGAAACAGTAATTTGAGTGACTCCAACACAAATTTTATGTGCAAATAAAACTATCATGGCAGCTTGTCATAGCCTTTGGAAAGGCGGTGCTTTTGGTGAGAGCAGAGGGATGATTCTTCAGTTACATGGGAATCTTTAATGCCTTTCTAAAACAGCCAGCCGAGCTCAAGGGCAGACTCTTTTCTCTTTACATGCCAGTGAAAATGTATCTAAACTGCTTCAAAGACTTACAAGCTGGTTCAAGTAAAACATAAAAGATACGCTTGTCTTCTGAAAGATACTAGTGTGCAGTTCTTTAAAAGATGTTTATTTCTCTTACAGTTTGTTAAAATGTGTGCAAAAATAACTTATTTTCCTCTATCTTGTAAAGGCCAGCCCCATTCTGGTTTGCTGCAGTCAGGAGTTATCAGCTGCTATGTCATGTACCTCACTTTCTCAGCACTATCCAGCAAGCCACCAGAAACTGGTAAGTTATCTAATGCTTTATGCAAATTCTTTTAGGTATGCCATGTATTAAAAGCAAGAATTAGCAAGCCTGAATTAACAAATTCAGGGATAGAGGAGTGCTGGTTTTGATATGTTCTGGCCTATGCAGAAAAAATTACAAATGCTAAAAATAAATCCATGCAGCAGAGAGATTGTGCAGTTGGCACTCTCCATGTACCTTAAATGCTTTGGTGTAGGGGAGTTTAACTTACCTTGGGCAAGTTGCACCTGTTGCACCAGGGCAATTCCAGCCTGTTTCCTATGGGCAAACTTCCCAGAGTCTTGTAGCTTATTCCTCGTGTGGCCAGTGCACGTTCTTGTACAATAGGAGATGACTAAATACATAATGTGTGTCGTCACATGATGGGAAAGGAGTTGGAACAAATGGCTCTCGGATGCCACTGGAAGAAGCTGGGTGATCAGCTCCATCCAAAAGTTTACTAGGTCCACCACCACTTAGCAGATGCTGGCTATCAGAGCTGATACTTCTTTTCTCCTAGAATTGGTATGCTAGATAGCCTTATATCTCAACTCCTAATGAAGCAAAACCTTGAGTACCACTCATCTTTTGTCTTGAGAGGAAATATTCTGGGAAAGGACTTGTAATTATGTTGCAGTTTTTTGAGATGATGCTGTTCTCCATCAGAGTTCCTGTACTCCACTTGCCTTCAAACCTTCCTTGCATTGCAAGCCAGGACCTAGAGTTTTACGTTTGCTATGCTACAAAACCACAGTGAGACTTTACAAGCACAACTCAAAACTGTTTTCTTTTCCCAGGTAATCATCAGATTCACCTATTTAGACAGGGAACATTCTTTTCACTTAAAGACTTTTCTGGTTCTAATTAGGAATACTAAAAGCTCCTCCTTTATTATTGCTCAACTTTCAGTGTTGAATAGTTGAAACAACAATAACTAGAGGACAATAAGTCTGTTGGCAGGAAGGAGAAATTTTTACAGATGCCTCCCAAGAAAAAAGGGGAGAGATGGGGGAAAGAATCTTTCTCTGTCATACTTGTGTAGGCACATGCACATGCAGAAATGTATTCTAGAGCTAAGAAGGAAAAACAGATGGTATTTAGGTGGAAGATTTACAAAAAAAGCAGTGTTTTTGAATGAATATAGAGGTTAATTTAGAAGACACATGAATTACTCATAAGACTTCACACAGTGATGACAAAAAAAGGGAAGGAAGTGATGTATGGTATTAAGTCATTGGCCTTATGTTATTTCATGCTTGCGGCAGTCAAAGCCTTCAGCAGTATAACTGAATGCTCTGATTCTTCTGCTATGTATTGCAACTGTGGTTATTGCATTTGTTAGAGTATGCATCAAGCACACTCTCTATGGCCTCTCCTGAGTCAGATGTACCTTCTTGTCTTCCCAGGCCAGAGAACTGTCATGGCTGTCATCTGCTCTCAGAGATGCTCCTTTTTCCCCTGTCTGTGTGATAAGGACGCTCATACTGGCCTGTGCAGCTTTTACATGTGCTAGGGAATGTATGGGGTTCTGGCATTTACTAAGGTGTAGCATGCCCTGGCACTCAGATTTGCCATGAACTTACCTAATGTTGACTCATTCCTCAAGGAGGGACTTTCAAATTGGCCATCTTGCAAATTGGCCACCTTGTAAACCAGGCCTGAAGAAAATGCAAGCTGCAAGTATTTAGTTGCAACACCCAAAAAGCAGAGTTGCAAATGTCTTTAGAAGGAATGAGCAAACAAAAGGTAATGTCTGTTGGACCTGTGCTTATCACAGTGTGCCTTAGCTTTTTGGTACCAGACGTACCTAAAAGGCCTGCCAAAGAGCGGACCTGCCTCGCTGCAGAGGCATCCCTAGCAGGTGGGGAACTCTGCACATCCCTGGCCAGGGTGTTCCATAAAGGCTTGTCATCCCTTTGTTTGCCCCCCTCCGTGCTGTCCCTGCTGTGTGCTGATAAAGCTGTTTGTCCAGCCCTGCAGGACCATGCAAAGTCCTCCCCTGCCAGGTCAGGGGACTGACTTTGAGTTTATTTTTAACCTGGATGTAGCCTTTGCTGCATTTTGCCCTGTGCCCCTAACAAATAGTTGTGCTGTCCCAGTGGGGATGCAGTGTGGCTCCTGGGAGGAAAGAGGAGATGGGAACACAGTTTGCCTTAAACAGCATTTGCTTAAAAAGCTCTTGATTTGAGATAAGGTGCAGCTGTAATCTCTTGCTTTGAGGTGATGCTGCAGCCTTATTTCTCTGCCTTGCCTTCACTCCAACCAGACACCAAAAAGCCAGATGCATCTTGGAACATCGAGGACTGAATTGGTTTCATTTCAGGGACCTAGAAGTCATACTTGCTTAGATGTTGAGATAAAATCTTGCCTGTAACTGGTGCATCTCCTTTTCTTTGGTCTTCTGTCTATCAGTTGAGAACTGGGCAACTACACACCACCTTTTTTCACTGAGTATGAATTTCATAGTTGTCCTCAATGCACCCCTGCTGTCAGAGAGATTTACGGTCTCAGATCTGTACTGTCTTGGTCTTATACGGCTCTGTAGTCCTGGATGAAGTCTTGGTAAACTTCCAACTTCTTATTTGTTAGTTCTTCAAACAGTCTTTTTCCTTGTTTGTCTGCTCTTGTCAAACAAGAAATTTTAGCACCCTACTAAGTTACATGGGTTTTTTCCCCGAAACACAGAATCTGCCAGTCCAGATAATACAGATTTTTTTCTGTATAATCTTTTAAAAGATAGATAGAAACAACTGAAATGTACCTACCCAGTGTCTGAAGTAATAAAAATATTTCTCTGAAAACCTTCACTGTGAAGACTACTTTGAAATGCAGTGAAATGTGCTTTACTAATTGTTCTTTTTGTTTGTTTTGTTTTGTGAAGTCCTAGATGAAAACAATCAGAACATCACAATCTGTGTACCTGAATTTAGTCAAGGCCTGCACAGAGATGAAAACCTGGTTACTGGCCTGGGTACTACTATTTTGTTTGGCTGCATTTTATATTCTTGGTAAGTCTGGGAGTTTGCAGTTACCTCACTGTAAATGCAATGTCGTGGTCCAACTAGCGAAGGCTCATAGCAGACCTCATGCAGACAAAGTAATGGGGAGAAGTAGAGTAGAACTGAGCTGGAAATTTCATGTTCTCCTCAGTTTCAGAATGGTTAGATGTTTTAGCCAAAAATGTTCAACAAGATGATACAACTTTTGAAATAAAAGTGTTTTCATTAAAACTGAATAGAGCAATTTACATCTAGAGGTGGAGGGAAAAAATTTCCAGCTGTCCATGATCCCAAACAGTCTCAGGGTGCTTTGACTCTCTATTTACTCTTTCTATAAGAAAAATTAGGCAGTTATGTCCATCTAAAAAAGCTATCTGAAATTTCTGTAGCTTCCTGGTAGAGGCTATAACTGTTCCTTGAGGGTCTTTAAAACATAAAAAAACGTTTGGGGGGATTAGGGCTTCCTTTGAATGAGTGATGAGCACAGTACTGCCATCAGGATTTGCCAGTGATCTCCTGTTCTAAAAAAATCTGTTTGTGGCCATATAGTTGTGATGTTCACCTTGTATTATTGCAGTTCACATCAATAAATGAAGTCAGACTCCAGGTTGGGGCGGGGGAGTTTGCTGATGATTGAAAGGCGATGTATCAATTGCTTTGGCTGTGCAGGGTGCCAGGAAACAGCACTGCCTGTCTGCTGCAGGTTTTTGAGCAAGTTCTGCTTCTGAATCAGTCCACTTCAAAATTCACATACTGAAACTCTTTCATGATTTTGAAATTAAAACGAGACACTTTCTGAAGAGGTGACACAGCTACTCTTCTGCTGTCAAATATTCATATGTGTTCCATTTCATTCTCATATCAAATATATTAATTTCATGTGTCATGGATCTAGTTCACCTTAGAACATTATTTCCATTGCCTCAGGAAGGTGTTTTGGGAATGCAGACAACCTGCATGTAGCCTGCAGGGGACATATATCATGTAGCTGGGGAGATAAGAAGGGTTTCAAGGGGAATGTTTTGAAGTATTGGTTACTAAGGCTCAGTGCGTACAGCAAAGCATTAGTGTGTCTCCCTGTGGGTAATGGGAAGTTTGCATTACACATCCTGAAAGAGGAAGACTGAGCAAGCAATGTTTCTAATCAGAAGAAACTAGAAAGGATTCCCCCCTGACAACTACAATCATGCAAGAAAGTGATTTCCAGCAAGTGGTACACTGACAGTAGTGGTTGGTAATTTACTTTTGAAAACTAACTGCTGCCAATGACCTGTTACTTCACTGGCAAAGCCTTTACAGAAATGCTGAGCCAAAGTGGTGACTGTGAAGTTAATATAAAAGCACTGATTGTGGACAGCAGGGGACATCTCTTCTGAATTGCAGATTGGAGCCCTCAGCTGTTTGCTGCTGTCTGATGGTGATGAATTCACCACCACCTTTCTGGAGTGACCTACTTTTAAGCTTGCGATTCAGCCCGAGTTGCCCAGTGGCTGTCTGTCAGGGTGGTTTATGCTTGTGCTGACCAAACGTTTCACATGCTTTCACTACATGAAACACTTTTTTTCACTACACATGGTGCTGTATCCAGGCAAATGTTTAGCTTAGTCATGGGAGTAGAATATTTATGTTTGCTGTGGTGTTGAAAAATCACCCTGTGGGTCTTATACTTAGGCTGAGGATTTTGACACTATCTTCTCTTGCTCCTAGTTTGACCTCAACAACACGTGCAAGCTCAGAGGCACTGAGGGGAATATATGCAACACCTGAAACTGAAGTGAGTTCTTGCTTCCTCCCACAGGATTTCTGTGCAGACTTACTCATGTGCTTTTCTTGCTGTTGTTTTCATGGCTAAGTAATCTGTAATTAGGTGAAAACAAAAGTTTCTTCATAACTTGCATGCTACCTGCACCTGGGTATGGACTGGTCAGAGCACTTGTCCCACACTGGCCCTTCTGCAGCTCTTTCTGGTACTGTGGAGTTACCTTTATATACTGAAATTATTTGCTGCTCTTGCAGTTTATTTAACATCCAGTAGACTTCCTGTAAATCTTACGCTCCACACAAGTTGATGTCCTCTCATTTAAAGGAAAAGTCTTCTGGGGAGCTGTCAGAAAAAGAAGCATTCTTGAACATTTTCGGTCCTGGTTGCCTTTGTTCTCATAGCAACTGACTATGATCCCATGTTCCTAGCTCTTTTTTTTATTTCTGCACATAAGTATTTCCTTTCCTTTTGCCTATAATTTCATCTCGGATTGTATTTCTTGTCTCTGTTTCAACAGTACAGGTTTCTTCATACCACCTGCCTATTTCTTTGGCCTTATTGTGGGAACACCCAGAAACACTGGGAAATGAGTGGTTTTTTGCTAAGTAACAGTTACCACTTACTTAGGCTTGGTAGTGTCACTTTTCAAATGTATGTGTGTGTTTGGAGGATAAATCTCCATCCCTAGCTCTCTCTATGTTGGTGTTACTTGCATCTGCAGTTTTAACTTCTATTTTTCAAGTCTTTAATCAGAGTGCTTGTGAGAATCCAAAAATGCAGAAATATCTGCTGAAGCGCTTGGTGTTGGCAGTAGCTGGGTGTGGGGAAGCAAAACGCATTTCACTGTGTCAGCGTGTCAGTGCCGGAGGAGCTTCCTTCCGGCAGGACAGTGCGACTGGACGGGGCACTGGTGCCAGCGCTGAGGAGCTCAGTGCCCGGTGGCTCCTCGCACCGGCCCCAGCCCTCGCAGGCGGGCAGCCTGCCAGCAGGCTCAGCATCAAGCACCGAGACGTGGCTCGGCCCTCCTCGGGCAGATCCGGGCAGGACCTGTGCCTTCCCACCCTGTGCTGAGGAGGGGCAGGTCAGGACTGGGGGGCCCAGAGGGAAAACAGCCGCCCTTCACACCCACCCAGCTTCCTTTGCCAGCGTTACGCCCTAGGGCATCTTGTCCACAGGGCTTGGGGCTGTGGTGTGCCCTGCGGCAGGTCTAGCGGGTAGGTTGGGGCAGCTGGCAGAGCGGGGATGCTGGATGCGGCCCCCTCACCGGGAGGGTCCGGCTCGTCTGCCGCAGCACTTGCCGACAGGATTATTTCTGGACCGTTTGGTTTTAAAGAGAGGTACAAGAGCCACTGAACATAAATATAAAGAAATGACTGATGAAGAGCGATTAATTGCACTCTGATTGCCTTCCCTGTGGCAAAGGGCCTTTGTCTCCTGGCCAGGAGCGTGAATGTAGCTTTGCAGTTGCTTGAGGTATACAGAGGGTCTGTCGGCATCTGTGCTGAAGACGGCTGAGCGTTATGAGGGGCTAGCGGTATGTGTGCCAGCGTTGCTAATTTCATCGCTCTGTGTGTGCAAGGACTTAATTGCAACTGATTAAAACATTTGAGGGAACCCAGCGCTTGCTACAGAATGTGAGTGCAGCCGAAGGGGAGCTCAGGCTGGCGCGGTAGGTGAGGCTTGGCACAGCAGTAGAAAGAGATACAAGTAAGGGTTTTATTTAACCCCTCAGCCAGTCCCTTAAAAAAGAATGAAGTCTTTGGCTTCTCATGAGTTTATCAACCCAGTGAATACATGTAATCATGGATATGCAGGGTAAAAACTGCCATTTGATGTTTCTGTTGGACACTTTGCCTTAAAGGCTTACTATCTGATTTTGGGTGTATCAGGAAAACTTGCAAGTGGCCTGTGCTAAGGAGAGAGGCTAGAACATAAAGTATAGAATTACAAGAGTAAATATTTGTTCATGCACGTAAGATGTCCCAGACAAATTAGGGCACCCCAAGTGTGGTTTTACACAGGGTCCTTATACCCTTCAAGCATTTAGGTATAGCATGATTTGACTGATCACCCAGAGCTAGTCACAGTAAAACTTTGCAAAGCAACTATATTTCTGCAGCATTCTTTCTGCTTGTCTATTGATCCAGACGTCCCTGGAGTCAGTCTTGCAATAGTCACTTATCTATGATGCTGGCAAGGTTTCAAAAATGTGTGAGAGGGGCTAGGATGCTGGCATTATCTTGGTTGTCCAGTGGTATATTTTATCCTTCATGGACAGCTCTAAGCTTCCAAGAAGCAAAGTCCTTATTTCCAGGGCCAGGCTGTCATTTAGTTTCTTTTACTTAAGCATGAACAATACCAGAGTCTCTCTTAAAACTCCACTACCTCATTACATTGCAGTGTATACTGTGAACTTATATATGTTAACAAAGTTAATACACTTTCATAGATTGATTGATATAATAGTTAGGGAAGGGGATTTTCCTAACAAGGTTCATTGTCTTCATCAGACTACAACCAAAAAAAAAAATCCCAGAGTAGGAATTTGTTGGAACAAACAATGTTGGTGATGCACTACAGAAAATGCTGACTTGTACTGTGGTCTGGTGCAGAAAATGCACTTACTTACATGTTTATTGGATGGTCAGCACCCTTTTCCCATTTACATTACCACTCAACACAAGAAGTGTCAATTTCAGCTTTCCTTCCTCCATCAGTTAAAAAAAAATCTTCATTTAAATAAAGCAGTAAAACCAGCTTTCTGCTTTTGCTCATTCTGGCTCCATTTCATCAACATCTTGCAAAGATAAGTGCACTTTTGACTTATGCTTGTGCAGCTGTGATTCCCAACCCTTGCAGCAGGGTTTTGAAAGTTCCTTATACTTTCATTTCAGTAGAGAAATTTTTAGTTTAAAAAGCACTTAGATGCAAGTCTGAAGAGGTAAGTCCCCTCTGAACTACTAATGTGCAACCGCTTTACTGTAGCTTTTCCACTATTTTGTCATAATTATTTGCACCAGTGTTTGACCTTGAGTTATGTAAAATAAGTAGAGTAATTCTCAAAGAATGGTTAATTTGCTCCAAATCTTTCTCAGTAGGTTTTTCTGAAGCTTAGAAACTGCTGTTACGAATGTTGTGGACAATGAACTACTTGGCAAATCCTAATTTGAGTTTTATGCTGGTTGGAAATACAAACCAGACTTCTCTAAATTAGTGTCTGTAAGGTAGACATAACAGACCTTCCTTCACCAACTGTTCTTCTGCTTTGCTGTAGCACAGACTCTTACTCTTCCTGGTGTCTGTTCCACAGGTCGCTCGTTGCTGCTTTTGCTGCGTGCCTGACGGAGACGGTAATTACATTTTCACTGCACAATTTACCTCACTTGCGGTTTTCGGAACAGAGCCAAGAGACTAACGACACAGCAGCAGATGGAGAGCTGCTTGTATCCTCCTTCTGTAGCATATCAAACTGAAGCAGCTGAAATGTTCAAAGTTAGGCTAGAGAAGGAAGCAAGAGATGTAAAAATAACATTTTAAAACAACAGGCTAGTTAATAATTCCTTAATTAGACATTTCATTACTGCATACAAACATACAAAGAGTAATTTCTGCTCTTTGCATGCTTGTGGGTGTGACTGCTGGATTTTTGGCTCAGCACCTCTGCAGGGACTGCATTTCAGGAGTGAGTTAGGAAGCAAGTGTCCTGTTTTCAGACCTGGTATTTGCAGACCTGGTACAATCAGGGTTATCAGCTTGCTCTTGCCAGAAGAACGTCGTACAGGTAGAGCAATTTAAATGGCCCAAATGCTCAAAAACTAGCCAGTAGGCCAGGAAGCTGATACAAGGCAGGATTTCAGTGGCAGTCCAGTTTCTTTTACTGAAGGCTTAGACACATGACCTAAGGGCATGTTCGTGTTGCCCTGTGTTACGCTTTTCTAAATCACACATAGATGTTTTGCTGTGTTCTTTGTGAAACAATCTGTTGTTTTCAGTTGTCATTAAATTTGCAACAGCTTTCTTGTTTCCTGTTTCTTACAGCTGATGCTGAAGAGCACACAGAAAAAAGGAGAGGCCAGACTGTGATTTATGATGAGAAGAAAGGCACTGTGTACAGTTATGCCTACTTCCACTTTGTTTTCTTCTTGGCTTCACTCTACGTGATGATGACAGTAACTCACTGGTTCCAGTAAGTGTATTTCTTTAAAGCTGGGAAATTAATTGCTCTGCGTTGAGAGGGGAGATGTGAACAAGAACTTCTGCCATTAGTATGTCTCTTCTCCTTAAGTAAGAAGTTGGAAGAGATGTTGCAAGTCTTTCCCAGGTGATTCTTGAGCAAGATCTTGCTCTATAAAGGGCTCTTCCCTGCTTTGTATCTGGGTTAACCTAGTTGAAGTCTGTGACCCACTTGGAAAACCAGGATAGTGTAGTCTGAGATATGAATAGTGAGTTTATTGCTTTTTTTTTTTTCTCTTAACAGTTATGAAAGTGCTCAGATTGAAAAATTCTTCACCGGAACCTGGTCCATCTTCTGGATTAAGATGGTCTCCTGTTGGGTTTGTGTCTGTCTGTATTTGTGGACTCTTGTTGCTCCACTCTGTTGCCCAACCAGAGAGTTCTCAGTGTGAACACTCAGAAGGTCCTTCTGTGTTTTTTCTCTTTTATTTTTTCTTTTTTTCTTGTTACAAATAAAATACAACAGTCATTTTGTGATGAGGAAACCCCTGTAGCCCACTTAACGTAATGTACCAGTTAGTAACTTTTTAGGTCAGACTAAATAAATAATTGAAGACTTTTACCTTTTTTAATTGTCATGAACAAGCATTGCCCAAGGGAACAAATCTCTTCCAAAACTTTGTAACACTGATGTGTAGGAAACACAGTTGTTGCATAAACTGGAATAAGTGAAATGCTTTTCACATAACTGACAATCTTTCTCTGGCTTCATTGGCAAGAAAAGAAAAAATCGTGGTGCAGATGTATCTTCTTACTTCCTGTGAATGTTGGATATCTTCTAGCAAATATGCATTCCTTTTTCTAGTCTTTCATTAACTGTGTCTTTTACAGTTTGCAGTGAAGATTTGGACTGCTGTTTTGTACAGCATATAATTCTTATAAGTAATATCCAGATATTTTTTTCTGAAAACATAACTAAATACTTCTGTAGAAATAGAGAATATGTAAGAATTTGACTGCCAAAGCATCTACTAAAAATTGTTTATCTAAATATTAAATTTATTAAGTTATTGTATACCAGATTGAGAAAGGAATTTACCAATGATAATAGAGTATTTATTCTATTATAACTTTAAAAGGCACCTGAATATTTTATGCAATTCAGATCTGGTCCAGTTGTTAACAGAAGGGGAGTTCTACACACAAATTCTTAAACTCTGAATTTTGTCCAACTTTGTTTGCCAGCTCACTTAAACTGCAAGTTGTGTGTACTGCACAGGGATGTAAGATACAGTACATTCTTTATTCAGAATGTTTGCTGTTGAGAACATGCTAATTACAGGAGCACTGCCAGTTGCTGTTAACTTTAAAAATGGAGTGCTCATTTACTTTTCTACCTTGCTGTTTCAGCTTGTGTCTAAAGATCTCCCAGGATCTTCAGTTCTGTTTCCATTACTAATTTTATAATACTTTAAATGTAGTGATGGTCAGGAAGGGACTATAGTGCATCATCTTCCTTTTCTGCCTGTATGTTGGTTGGAAAGTATTCTTTCTAACTGCTGTATTTTTATACTCCTCTGTTGATATTTTGCTGTTGGGATAGGAGTTAGCCAACCAATCCATTAATGGAGACTACACTTCTTTTGGAGAATTCCTATTCCAAGCAGTGGGGTAAGCAGTCAGAAAAACAAAGCCAGAAGACACAAATGTAACAGCAGCTGCCTTAGGACAAATGACTGACTTGACAATATTATACCCTACCATGTCACTTTTATTTGCTTTAAGCAGATGACTTGGTGGTAGAACAAGAGCTCAGATGCCCTAAATGCTGAGTAAGGTTGAACCCACTACATTTATGTACATTCTGGTGGGATGAATTTATGGCTTATGCTAGTCCCAGAGATTTTGTCTTCTCTCTCAATACATATATACACACATACAATGTGAAATATGCAGGCTATAAACAAAGCCAACTGATTTAGCCGTTCTTTTTTTGAAATATGATTGAGCCTTAAATCTTCATCCAATGCTTTCTGCAAAACAAAGAAAAGCACAACATAGAGGCCATGAGATGGTCAAAATATTTGCACGCCTTACTTGTTCTGTTGCAATAATTGATGGCTAATGCACACCTGGTGAGTAATCCTAATGTAAAAGATCTCAGTTCTGCTTTTGTTTTCATTACCATTTTTAGCTGCCTTGTTTCTATGATATCCTAGGGCTTCTGTCCTGCTTGGAGCTTGCTAGGAGTATGATCTTCCTCACCCCTTGCACTCTTACCTCAAACAAAATCTACAGGTCTGCAGTCCTGTATATTTATACCACCTACCCCAATGACTAGGAGCCGCAAAATACATCTGTCGTGAGATCTGAGGGAAGGAGCATCTATCCAGAGGTGACTCTTTTGCTGCTCTTCTCCTTGTTTGCACCTAGGGAAAAAAAAGCAGTTGAAGCTTAGTATTGACACTGAGTTAGAAAAGCAACAAATAGCTCTGGAGGGAGAGGCAGGTTTTTTTTCTTTTCTTTTGCTTCTGGGAGATTCTGATCTCACCAAGAGTTCTGCTGGCTTGGGGGCCCATCAGTGTATGTCTCTGCCTGCATTTGGAGTCCGGCCATGCAAGTCCTTCCATAGCAGAAAAAGGCCTTTGTTAATGTGTTTGCAATCTAGAAGCCTTTATCTGTCCCATCTCTAAGATAAGAGCTTATGGGCTGTGCAATGATGACTAACAGTTGTCCCACCTAACTCATAGCAGCTATTCTGACAAACAGCCTTGATCCAGTGCTAGATCAAGCTAGAGCTGTGAGCTGCAGCTGAGCAGTCCAGGCTCTTGCTCCTCCCTTCATGAATACTGTTCCTAAAGTAGAGAGGTTTACAGGAGTTGCCTTCTAGTGCCGTATGTGTTGTACTATGAGAAACCAAGCATGTTGTTTTAAAATTAGCAACGTTTTTTATAACAGAACGATCTGGGCAAGCAGCTCTACAGCAGAAGGCATGCACTATGTCAAGTTAGGGAGGGAACGGTCACTGTTCTCTGGTTCTGATAGCAGGCATTCCAGTCACAAATGTGAATGATCTTAATATTTATTTTAGCCAATGGATGTTCTTACTTGTTTATAAAAACACTTATTTTATGTAGGCAGTATCTGCCTGCATAAGAACTTCCTGCACCTCCTTGTGCTCATTTTTTTATAGTTTGTATTTGAGGAAATAGGTTTTGCACAGAGGAAACAGGATTGTAAGAGGAAAGTCCACAATGAGGCATGAGTCCATTCTTCTTACACAGCTCTCGCCTCACTGAGTTGCTCCTGCATCCTTCCCTTCCACCAACTATTGACCTTAACCATTTAGATCTGTGGATATACTTAGGGTGGGAATGGGGCAGTGCCTGACTACACTGCTTTGCCTGCTTCTGAGCACACATTGTGGGAAAAGACCCTGAAAATAACTTTGAGGACCGGTGTGTCCATGCTGTGGCACCAGATCTAGCTGTGGATCTCCAGGCCTTTTTAAGACATCAGTAACTGGTGGCACCTGGGTGTGCAAAGCCTCCAGTTCCTCAGTGAGGCTTACCTTCATGCTGGCCAGGGAAATGTTGCCGCCTTAGCCTTTGCTGTAAAATCTGTACTGTGAACTTCCATGTGCAACTACTTAATAAAACCCTCAGCTAGGGGCGAGAATTCAAATGCCCAGTTCATAAGAGTCCAAACAGTTCATACAAATGGGCTTTTAAAACCTTTTTAAGAAGTGCCTTCATACTTACTGCTGTGATAGCTAATAATTCTGGTGGCACTGGAACTGGAAAACCTGAACTGAGCCTGTGACTGGGTGATGCTGCCTTGTACATTACACTGGTGTGTACAGGACACAGTCAGACCCGTTGTGAATGTGGAAGACCAAATAATCTGGCTTGACAAACCTCTGGGGTTGAGACTGATTCTGATATTACTGTGCAGTGGAAGATGAACAGGGAAAATTCACAAATCATAGAATCATATGGGTTGGAAGGGACCTTTAAAAGTCATCCA